CGCCTGATGATGCTGGTTGTAATTACTGGCGAAACGTCGTACTCGAATTGTTGTGGGTTTACTCTCCAACACATCGGTGTGCTGTACGAGTAACAAATTGGCACGTTTTGTTTACATGACAAACCTTACTAATTGGCTGTGTCGGGTGGTGGCGGGTTTAACGACACATTTATATTTAACCCAAAAAAACCTCAATCATGGATAATATTGGTCACGAATGCCTATGTGTTAAACTGAGAGTTTACTGCCCCACAACTGTCAAAACCCACTACAACACTGAACTCAGGAGCATTAACACCCCGACCAGCGTGAAGTAAGGTCAAACAACCCCCACAGACCGACACGGCTCAGGAGGGCGTTTGACAAAGGGCTGTAAATAACAAGCAGTATTATTATTAATAACAACAAACTATTAATACATGGCAGGGTCGGCCCGTGGGAAGCAGAAGTGTGATCTCTCTCGCGATGCACCGTGGGCTGCCACCACAGCAGCAGCAGCAGCAGCAGCACAGCCACACAAACCAAGTTCACAACCCAAGCGGGGAGGACGGCGTGCTGCGTACGGCCACAAAGCAGAGAGAAAATACAGTGAGGACTCTGCAAGACACGAGATTAAATCGCTGCTCCGATTCAGCACGATTGGCTACGTACGGTGCGATAGAAGTTCAACGTGCGTGCACACAAAGAGGGAATAAAAATGGACGAGACGAATAAAAAGGAAGGGTCATGCGACGTCGCTATCCGAGCTCTTCGTGGCTAAGGCCGCGCGCTGGCAGATGCGCTGCACTTGCCGTGGTCCGGTACACTCGCTATTAACCCCGTTCCGTTGCGATGACGTACATACGTACATGTATACACGTCATGAGTTTTTCTTCAGATTCTGTTCCGGTTACTGAACAGCGCACGTCATTGGAACGGAATCGGAAGTTAAAGGCCAAGCGCGGGAGGGCGTGTGGCACAGTTTTTGGCACCAGCCATCACAAAGCGCGGTCGCGTCGCTACGGTTCTCTGCGGTGAGTACAACGCCTTTAAAAGCAGCGTCGCTAAAACGCCTCTCTAAATAAAATTAACGCTGAACCGCTCGCGCGTTCCGATGAACGGGACACCCAGCAACGTGCAGACGTCCCGGAACGGGAAAGCGTTAATGAGCTGAAAACTTAGTAAATAAAAAAAAACCCAATGCAGGGAGGACCCTCCTGAAACAACAGTCCTACGTCTTTCCTGGACAACCACAAAACGACTCCACACGCGGCCGTTTAAAAAAAAAATAAACCTACGGGCACAGCCTTCGTCCATTCACTCGCCCTGCTCACCGACCGACCTCAAGAAGGCCGCACGAGAAACCCAGAGAAGCAGCTCTATCCGTTCCATCCTGACCCACCAGCCCCCCCCCACACCCCGATCCTCAAGCCCCTTTGTTGGCCCTTGGCCAGGTCTCATCACTTGAACCGCCGTGGCTTCTAACACCGATCGCACCCTCACCCCCCGCGCCCGACTTCCCAAACTACAATTTCTCACATCCGCCCTCCAAGCGGCGACGCTGCGATATGATTTTTCGAGACCTCGTGCAAAACGACTGGGTGGAGGAGGGGGTGGGAGGGGGTGGGTGGGTGGGAGCACTGGAGAGAGGGCACGGAAAAAAAGGGGGTTGGGTTCGGCGGGTGGGTACGTTTGAACACGGGGCCAATGCGAGTGAGTGCACGCGCGCACGCCAGCACTTGTCCACGATGCTCCGGGGATACTTCTGCTACGACGTTCCCCCGTCTTGGGAACTCGCTCCGTCCCAAGTCTTTATCGGGAGGAATCCAGGCGCAGTCGAATCTTACAAGTCGAGTCAAATTAAAATAAAAACATCGGTTTGTGGACGAGCTTATCCTCGAGCTGGACTGATCGGCCATCAGTTTTCATCGCACACGCGGCCTGAGATGCACTGCACGAAGCGCGCTATGGAAAAGCAAAACGCACACATTTCCCTGCACCCCCTTGCAAATTACTACTCCTCACCACCGCACTCCCCCCCCCGCCCCTCCCCCCCCCCCGTCCTCTTGCGGTACCATAGGACGGCATCGCAGGTTTCCGCGGAGTAGGACACACAACCTTCCTGCGTCGCCCGCAAGCGCCGAGACAGCTGAGGCAGCAGGCGCAGCCCGGGACAAAGATCTCAGCTTTCGTCTTCGCGAAGCGTCTCTCGCACGGACGGGGACAAACGACGCGACGGAAAAATACGCGGCGGTGGCGGCGCAGGCCGAGGTTAGCACGGTGGACCGCGCGCGATATCACCGCCAACTCGGCTAACCTCAATCGTTTCACCACAGTAACGCAATATCAAATTCCTACCCGGCTATTCCTATAGGGGCGGAGTGGTGGTGCAGTGGTGTGCGATCACGCGCGTGGCACTGTAATATGACGCACGCGTCCCAACCGGGGCGTTACATCGGTGGCGAGTGATATCTGAAACTAGTCCGGGATCCCCCCCCCTCCTCGCCGACCCCATCACTAACCTGTGGTGTACACTATGGGGACCTCATTTGCCAGTAAAAATATGATAATTGGTTCTTTACCCTTCTATCTGGCAACAAAACTGACACCTTTTTGCAAGGAGTCATGGGTTGGACCAGATGACGCCAAAAGGCGCACTGCGCCTTTTGGCGTCATCTGGTCCAACCCATATGAGACTAGGCTCGAAGGAAAGCTGTCTCGGGTGTGGACCAATCAACTTCAAGGACAGTGCACATTATCAGAGTTATGTTCTCTTGTTTGTATTATGACTGCAGGTATTGCGGTCTATGCAAACATGACTCCTTGCAAAAAGGTGTCAGTTTTGTTGCCAGATAGAAGGGTAAAGAACCAATTATTATAACCTGTGGTGACCAGGGTGGTGAAATATGGTCACACAGCCTCCGCACGACCGACGCGGTCTCAACTGTCGTTATTCGTCTTTCTTGCTCAGTCGACGTGCAGTAAACCACAAAGAGCGACTCGTACACGCCACCACCATCATCACATGCGTGGCAAGTATGGCCTTGCAGTGGTTTGGCTCGTGAGGAAGAAGCTCATTAGCCAGTCACGGTACGGAGAGATCAGAGAGGCAACCCAGCGCTGGCTGGCAACGCTTTCAGGGAATGGAACGACCTGTTAATTCGGTACAGTAGCAGACACGCAAGTTACGCTGCGGATGTACGTTGAACTTCTTTTCCACCGTACGTGGTCAACCGCGCTCACCGCAGTTGCGGAACGTTGAACCTGCTCACGTGAACCTGCACGGACGCGACGTTGAACTGCTACCCGGTGATGGTTTCAAGTAAACAGGCCACGGGGTGGCAGAGGGAGTCTGCCTCAACGACGCTTGCCGAGTTACAGGGAGGTGGGGAGGGCGAGCGCCACGCGCTGCGAGCCCGCGCGAAACCAAGTTCGATTCCCGTCCGTGGCTCACATCAGTTGCGTGCGATATCTTAACCGGTCCCAGGTCGCCCCCACGCGCGCCCCCACCCACCCACAGCTTCACCAACTACGGTGAAGGTGAAGCATGGCTGAAACAAGCCACCCCCCACCCCCCCATGACCAACACCGTCACAGAAAGGGCCTTCATCCGGCAGTGGATGAGCAAGGTGTTGGAGATGAACTATGACCCCGAGCAGTCGAGCGCGGAGGGTGCGGGGTGGGTTATGGGGTGTGGAGGGTAGACGGGAGGGGAGCGAGATTTGTCGGGACAGAAGAGCTTGAGTCTTTACCTTTCCTATACTTAGCATTCCAATCCTGTTTTTTGTATTGTTCGTTGTTGTAACATTTTGACTCCGTGTCCCCCCCCCCCCCACGGGATATCTGTGACAAAGAGCTTCGTCGCTCATCGGATTTCTCCTCTATTCTCTAAATAAAGAAATTACAATTCTGAAATCCGACTCGGGCCAGAGCTCACGAATCCTTCAGCACGCACACAAGCCAGGAGATTGAAGCGAGGAATGGCATCGGACGACAGGCTGGGCGTCAACTCCGCCGTACGTTTGGAAATTGGGAAACCGTAACCTCGGCAAAGCGGTGCGTGGCGCTATTTTAACTTCGCTTGAGTAATAAAAAAAGAAAATAAGAAGAACCGCTCTGCCTATTACTCATCGCACTTCCCTTCTCGCGCGCGTCCTCGAGCCAGCCTCCACCGCCACCCTGGTCCCCAACAGTGGATCCCCCACACCCCCCCCCCATACCGGACCCCACCCCAACAAGGAGGCCCCGCTGAGGAGGAGGAGCAGCAGCCCCAGAGTCGCAGCGTCCACGGCTCCATCCCGCTTAGATCAACGATCGGATAACCGCAGCGAGCGTTCACCGCCGCCCGCGACGCTGGCGCGCGCGCGTTGAGATGCGACGACCAGACCCCGGGGGGGGGGGGTGGGGGCGACGTCACGGCCAGCGAGCGATGGGAGATGACATTGACGGGAGACGTGGAGAGTACAGGCAAAATAAATACAAACAAACGTTGCTCTCCTTTATAATTTATCCTGATTATCGTTTTAGTGGGGTATCTATAAACATGCTCACGCCACTGCTGCCGGAAGCGTCATAAATGGAGCACTGTTTACAAAACGTTTAAGGCAAAGGTGAAACCCTGCAATTGCTTGCTCACGCCACTGCTGACGGAAAGAGCCTTCATCATGAGGGTGCTCTCCGGAGCCCATCGAGAGAGAATTTATATTTTTGCTAAATAATGAACAAATAACAAACGTCTCATTTCATCTTGACTTAAAGCTTTCGTGACTGCAGGAATTCATATTCTTTCGGTAAAGTCACGTAGATCGCTTCTCTTTTGTTATTTTCTTTGAACCTATCTACGCGACTTTACCGGACGACCCAAGAATACGTTTAATTTCAATCGTCGTTTCAACGTCGTCGACGGCTGACGCAATAGAGGTCTTCGTTTACGACGACGCGGGATGAGAGGGACCTGAGGGAGATAAACGCGACGGGCGACCACACGGGGGGAGGGGGGGGGGTTGCTGGGGGTTGCGTACCTGCGTGAGCTCAAAGTCCGGCTGCGACGCGACCTTCTGGATGTAGTCGACGCGCATCTGATTCTCGGGGTTCGCGAGCGCCACGGGTGGTACCAGGGTGCTCATGGCGCTCGTGATGGCCTGCATACGCCACGCACACCACCGCCGCCACCACAGTTCGGGCACTTAGCCACACCGCCGCACCACGCACCCACGCACGGTGTACTGGTGTACCACGGGAGCTGCACGCCATGCGTTGCGTGCCACGTACACGCGCATAGTACGTCGTACTCGGCGCCATATACGTCACACGCCATGCTTCGCGTGCCGTGTACCGATCGTCGTCATACGCGGCGAATCGCACGCCACGCGCACAACAATAGCAACCGCCGTTCATCACAAAGTGGCGGTGACGTCACTGCGGCGTTTGTGCCAGGCTAGGTGCACTTTGAGGCCACGTGAAGTTGTCGAAGTCCCGCTGGCAGGAGGAGGTCACGGGACAGACCCAGGTGCCGCGGGGAGACTGAGATGACTGGCAGATGCAGTAACCGTGCTCTCGACTGTGCCAACTTCTGCGTTTTAGCCACCCGTGCACGTGCGCGTGCACGCACACACGGCGTACCATGCATCGGACACCGGGTACAGACGCCACATTCCTCTGTATTATGTACCAACCACCATGCAACACACTCACCGCGCACCATGCCATTAGACACCACGATCCACATGTGTGTGGCACGTATGGGGGCATCTATGCATCGATTAGAATCGATTGCTAAGCTCTCAATGCATGGACCGAGCCGTGCGTGTGAGAACAACATCCAATGCATGGCAAGTCATACGTCTCGATTTACGTTTCTGGTTAACGGAGCGAGCGACGCTGCACCAACAAACGTGACACAATACAAATGAAACGGTAAAAATGAGACGAGAAAGAATCCACCCTGAAATCATGTTGTTATAATTCGTCGAATCGCTGAGAAGTGAATTTCCACGTGCCAATATCACACACACACACGTGTAACGCACGCCACACACCGTGCACCACAACACAAACCACGTACAGCACAAACACCGTTCCCCGCACACACACACCACGTACCACGCCCCCACAACCCGCCCTCAATTACCGACAAACAAAACGCATCGCAAGTCCCGCCGTGCCACCCGCGCAAGACCAATCGTACACATTACATGACAAAGGAAAGAATTGGAGTACAAATAGGTGACGTTTTGGGCACCGCAGCGGCGAGATGTGATCTTCCTCGCCGGGTATACAGGGGGTCGCAAGTTCGATGCCGACCCTGAGGATGCCTGAATATTTGGAGTTTTGCGCGTATCCCTCCCCGTGGTCATGTGGATGTTTCTCTCCGGGTCCTCCGGTTTTTCCCTTCACATTTAGAATCAACGTGATGACAATGATAGCTTCAGGGTGATTGATGCAGCCGACACTCACCACAATAGCATCCCTGATGTTCCGCTTGATATCTTGAATTTTTTGTTTCTTTTCGCTGCAGAGAGAGGAAGTTGCTCTGTGTGAGTTTCGCGCCACGTGCCTCAATCGCTCGAGCGACCCTCAGCTTCGATGCAATAAGAATACAACGGCACGCCACATCCAGTATACCCCCCCCCCCCACCCCCATCGCTATGGCCGAGGCTATATTAGTGACGCGCGGGGGACAGCAAACCTGCGGCTCCGGAGCCACATGCGGCAAGAGGAGAAGAGGAAGGTTTTGAACTTGGACCGGAAGCCACTGGAGCTATGCACTTTTAAATCCAGATTGAAAACTCGTTTATTTAGAACTGCCTTTTGCGTTTAGTTTGTTGTCCTTCCCCCGCACACTCCGATCGGCACGGTTGGCTACGCACGGCACGAAAAAAGTTCAACATACATGCAGCAGCACGGATAGATTGTGGCGAAGGAGTTCTAGACTAAAGAGGCAGCAGAGGAGAAGCGGTGACGTCCCACAAGTTCCATATTTCTATGGTGGGAGGCAGCACATCCTCAAAGCAACCATAGCCAATGTCTCACTACCTCTTCGCCGGTTGGGTTGGGTACTGGCAGTTACCCCCAGAGGAATCCTCTACCCGCCCAACGTTGCTACCGTTGCAACAGCAGACGTGGGTTTCACCCTCGCCGATGTTACGATTCAAGACAGATTCATTTGACGGTGTTGGGCCACGACCGAATGTGCGTCGTCAATCCCCTTTGCCATCCCCGACACGGCCAAAACGAAGGGGGACCTGTGCGTGGCTTACAGGCCCTGAAAGCGCCACATTTTTACATCGTTTCAAGCTGAAGGGCGAAAGTCTCGCAAACCAAAATTTCAACTACGGACACATTTGAGCGGAAACGATCATAGCTGGCAAACGTTGAAATGTCCGCGCGCACACACGTGGCGATTTAATTTGTGTGGCCGCGTCGGGTTGCAGGAGGGTTCCTAACGACACAGGTTTGTTACGTTCATGACGTGGCCTAACCCAAACAGATCGTCGATGATTCCGTGTTATCCTCATATCTGCGTGGTTGTTCACACAACGCGTTTTCGCTGTAATGCGGTTCTTCTATCAGGGAACACTTTACACATGACGCGGAACGCGCACCGTTATAACGAGCACCGCTATAACGTGGCAGTACTCCCTGCGCGGCTGAGCGGTTACAGCGATACAGCAGGCAGAACGATACGGTACGTGGCGTAATCTTTGTCCCGCCATGGGATGACTGCAGGCTGATTTTATAGTGTAGCGCAAATGCGATGCAGTAAAAGTCGTTCCTTCCTTAACGCTGTTCTCGCTTAACACGGCACTGTTCCGGAATGCAGCTAGTGCGCTTGTTAAACAAGGGATGACTGTACATATATAGCGTTGCTGCATGCGTATGCTGCCAGTCATTTTTGGCAAAGCCGGGATTGTATAATCGATGTAAAAAAAAAGATCCCATTGCGATGTACCAAAGTTCCAAAGACACACGCTCGCACAAACACACACACACGGCATGCTTATTGATGGTCACAGAAATAAACTTAACCCTTTACCATTCTCTGATGATGGAAAAAAATTACTTAATCGGTATGTCTTCAAGTCGGGTGACGTACCAAGGTTCCCACAAAGCCATGCGGGAGGGAGTGTGGTACAGTTTGGCACCAGCTATCATAGAGGGCGGTCGTGTCGCTGCAGTTCTCTGCGGTGAGTACACCGTCTTTAAAAACAACGGTGCTATGCCTCTCTAAATAAATGTTACGCCAACTGCTCGCGCATTCCGAGATTCAGCGGTGAACGGGACACCCACCCTGAACTTGCAGACGTCTCGGAACGGGAATGGTTGCAGATATAAATATGCAGATCTTATCTTTACTCATTGCAAAACTGTGCTCACATCCACGCTCTGCCAGTGCTACCGCTGGCACTGCTCCACAAAGGCGTGCGACACGCACGTAGGTTCGCAAGGTCCATCGCGAATACGGCAACGCAAGAGCGACGGGCGTGTACACCAATAAAGCCAGTCCGGAGGAGAGGGCCGCTACACGCACAGAACGCCCTCCGATCCATCCCACGACGCGTACAATACCCAGCACACATCGCGCTAATAATGCACAGAAATGCGCAACGAGGCGTGCGGTGTAGCGTGTCGGTATCAACAGAATTTTACACCGCCAATTAAAAACTCAACGGTTATATTAACGCCACCCATTTCGTCAAGACTATTTTTTTCGGGACCAGCGATTAGGGCCTCCCGTTTATAAAAGCGGTAATTCATTCTGAGGTTCCGTTTTTTTTCATCCATGGGAGACCAGCGGTTTTGTTCGGGGGGCCTCACTCAATGTATTTATTATTCACTTACAACTCGGTCAAAAGTATTCGCGCGCGTCGGGGACTTATCGCGTTGCGTACGCCAAGGTACACCTGGAAATAGTTCCAAGGACGTAACTGCATCGTAGAAGATAATTATAAAAATGATGACAACACAATTGGGATTTAAAGGGCACAGCTCAAGGCATGGCACCTCCGATTAGCACGGTTGGCTACGCAACATACGTACGTACAACACAGTGGGGCATGCACATCGTGGGGGGGGGGGGGGGGTAGGTAAGGTAGGTCCACAAGTAGGCCACAGCCATAATTAAAATACATAATGGATGTGGTGTGCCGGGTGTGTGTCAATATTTGACGGGTCGCTGGTCTGGGCAGACCAGGCTGAAAGAAAGTCCTCGGCATATTCACGCAAAAAAAAAACAGAGTACATGCAAAGGAAAGAGACTGCACCAGGACCCAGGCCAAACATGTGATGCTGTTGCTGTGCTAGTGTAAAAGAAAAGAGAGTAGGCCATCGGCAGAGGCGAAGAGAAAGGTCTTTAGTCCAGACTTGGACACGGGGAGAGAGTCGGCGGTGCGGATGGGTGGCGGGGAAAGGTAAACCAAGCAAGTCATTCACTGGAAACTTCGAAGACAGAAAGAACACGACGGCCAGGGTGGCCTATTAAGCGACCCCCGTTCATTACTCGAACCCAGGTTAATAAGCGGCAGCGATTGTGTCACGTGGTGTGAGTGTGTCACGTGGTGTGAGTGTCACGTGGTGTGAGTGTGAGTGTGTCACGTGGTGGTGGTGTGAGTGTGTCACGTGGTGATGGTGTGAGTGTGTCACGTGGGTATGGTGTGAGTGTGTCACGTGGTGATGGTGTGAGTGTGTCACGTGGTGAGTGTGAGTGTGTCACGTAGTGTGAGTGTGTCACGTGGTGTGTGTCACGTGGTGTGAGTGTGTCACGTGGTGGTGGTGTGAGTGTGTCACGTGGTGATGGTGTGAGTGTGCTATGGGACGATGTTGTGAGCGTGGTAAGGGACACGCGTGTGTGAGTGTCAGACCCAACGTTCACTCACTCGGCGTTGAATCCGTTCACGTGCAAGATGCGCATCTGTTTGACGATGGTGCTTTTTCCAGATTCTCCAGCCCCTAAATGACAAGAAGTGTCCCGACACACACGCACACACAAACACGCACACAGGGACACGCACACGCCGACAAGAACACACACGTGATCACGAGGTTATTAATCACAGAATCCACACCATGGGAAATACATGGACGTGCCGACTGACGATGCACAACATCACGCCATGGCATCGCGAGACCACTGCCAGCCTCGTGTCCGTTTGCTCCAACCCTATGGGGACAGTTTTGCAACTTGTACTTGCAACGCCGGACGTGTTTCTTTACAAGTATCGAGGGCAAGAGGCACAGAGATGTCCCGTGCCGCCTGTCAGGCATCTGCTACGCAAGGCGTCGATGCATCTAAGACAAAAAAAAATAAGACACGTTTCCTCATCTTCTTGGTTCTTTCGGTAAAGTCACGTAGAATGGAAATAATAAAATAATAAAATAAAACGTAATACAATTATTCTCACGACGTTTCGGCCACAACGCAAGCAGCCGTCCTCAGGTGGAGAACAGGTCTGTCGAGAAGACAGAGTCTGATGGTAGATGTTCCAAAAAATGGGCGCACGAAGCGAAAGCACGTCACCCAACCCCCCACAATGCACCGCACAAGACAGCTGCCCGCCGAGTAGCGCACACAGTACACATGCACCCGATGCCGTATCTGTGCGTATCTCTGTATGTATCACTGTGTATCTCTGCACAGGAGGGGACTCAGCTGGTGCATCTGCCAGTCATCTCAGTCAGTCCATGGCACCTGGGTCTGTCCCGTGACCACCTCATGTCAGCGAGCCTTCGACACTTCACGTGGCCTCAAAGTGCACCTGGCGGCCTGGCACAGACGCCGTGGTGACGTCACCGCCACTGAGTGGTGAACGGCGCGGTATTGGATATCTCTAAATGTGTATCTCAATGTGAGAAAACGCCTTGCCGAGTATCAAATACAATTCCATGTTGGCCCACATCCGCCCGCAAAGCCACATTTAGAGTAGATTAAAAGCCCACAATGTAGTGAATTTTGTGTAAAAATAGGTTTGCCGCATATATGGCATGAAATCGCACAAAACAAACCTGCACAGAGCATGGGAAAGTACGTTCGCGTGATTTTTTGCATTTGCGCTCCTTTTGTTCAAGAGGACATCCTCGCAAGAATCGATCACAACGTCGCCAATCGTAGCAATCGGGACGTGCCCAAAAGTTCAGTTTTATCAAAATAAATTTAATAAACCATCTTCTTCTTTCGTACGGCTGGTGTAAATGCAGAGCAATAACTTAAATTTCACATTCAGGTGGTCAAGCCAGATAACCGCGTCAGGAGGAGCAGAGTGGTGGATCATCGCCGTGATGTCTGCTTCGTATTTGTGGATCGGGGCACTGCGTCGTCGTTGCACCTTGTACGGTCTGTTTTGGATGACCACAGTCGCACGCTGGAATTTAAATTTTTCCCATTTCCACATCAGGTATCCGCATCTGCCACGGTTTGTGCAGTGGATGCGATTCAGGGCGAACCACGAGCTTCGTGGAAGAGCAAACCCAGAGGGATCTTTTGCGTTTGGTCTTGCCCTGAGTTCCTCTCTCGCACATGGCAAGACACTTCCTCATCTTAGGGCACGAAGAGCAAACCCAGGGATAAACTGCAGGAGTTGTGCATCGCACTGCCGCAGAAGCACAGTAATTACCCCCCTTCAGAATGTCCAGGGCAATGAGCTAAGCGGAGTTCGTGCAGTCACCGCGTGCAAACATGGTACACTCCGCACAGAGCACCCACCACCGCTTTGTACAGCTCGCCACAAACGCGCGTGCACGGGCAATCGAATAAACACTCGTGCGACGTGCGCAGCGTTCACGCAAAGCACTTGCCCCAAAGTTCTGTGAAGGCTACACAGGGAACTTGGCCTTTTGAGGGGTGGGCAATGGCTTTCGCAGGCTGTGGATTATAAAGCAAGGGGTGGCAATTTCACTCAGGTGGCACGTGGCTTTAAGTTGATTCAACGCTGCTGTCGTGTGACCTTGCTTAAGGCGAGCGGGGGGGGGTCATGATGACAAGTGGGGGGAGGGGGGCACAGCAGGGTCAACATTACATACGGCAAGTCCTCACCTAGCGCGTAGGGTGCTCACGCGACAACGTGTTTTCGCTATAAACGCGGTTCATCCATGCGGGAACGCTCTTCGCACAACGCGTAACGCGCGCCGCTATAGCGCTGCGTGGCTGAGCGGTGCAGTGATACGGTAAGCGGAATGAAACGGTAACGCGGGGGGATTACCATCAAGTTATTTGTCCTGCCGCCTGACTGCGTGCGTGTAGGACATCACATCTTGCCAAACGTTTTTCGTGAGCTTCATTCATGAGGAAATGCCCTCTTGACGCGGCAGAGGAATGCATCTACCGCGTTAAACGAGGACTTCCTGGGACCTCGATTGCCAGTAACAAAAGCACAAGAATAGGTTCTACCCTTTCAGGCAATAAAACGGTTGTGTTAAGATGTTCAAACATCAAACAGAAGCCTTTTGCAGGGAATCACGTCTGCATTAACCCCACACACGGTACTCGAGGTGAAAATGCAAACAAAACGTGTTCTGGTAATATATGACGTTGTGAAACCGATTGGCCTACACCAGAGACAGCCTTCTTTAGGGCCTAGTCTCAACCAGTGTTAGACCAGGGAATGCCAAAAGGCGAACAGCCTGTTGGCGAAGGACTTCCTGGAGAGGACTTCCTGTACAGAACTTTAAAACACACGCGTCACGAGATCTGCACCGAGGCCAAGGGTTGGTGGATCGCACAAATGCTGTGAACGCCCTTCCCGTGAGCGTCGTCCAGATGCAATATTCCTGCTGCCCAGGAAAACGCGGTCCTGCAAACGCGAACTCCACCTGTTCCATCTGTACAGAATGGAGTGGTACTGCCTCGCCGCAAGTGTGGGTTTTCAACGGTGGCTCACGTTTTCCTCTCACACGTAAACACTCATTAATTGGCCGTAAAACATTTTTATATACAGAGGACCGCAAAGCTTTGGGGGGGGGGGGGGCGACGGGGGTGAATTTGGCACCAGCTCACCACCTGGCTGCTGCCTTCCCCACTCGTCTGTGTCGTTGTCTCTCTGCTGAGCGAGTGAACACCGTTGCGGCCTTACAAGTTTAAGTTACGATTATTATTAAAAGCTAAATTAGTGACGATGTGCATTTTGCTGTGGCGCCCATCGCTGAATTGTATACTTATATCCATCCATCTCGTCCAGCCTCCTTCTCTCGCTCTTGAAAACAGTTTAGTGTAGTAGTTTAGTTTTAGTTCATAAATGCCAATGTCCATGTCTGCTATCCACAAGAAGGCTTCCTGGAGAGAGTTCGTGTATTACTGCTGTTCCTCCTCCTCCGGTGAAGGAGCACAGACTACGGCGGTTTACTGCGTGGTCCTCGGCTTGAGTTGCACGATCACAATCACACTTCGGTTGCATCGAGCAGCAAGGACATGGTGAGAAACAATCGGAGTGCACAATCCTCCTTGGAACTTCAACACACGTACATATAGGGAACGCGTGTACGCAATGAGCGTAACACACAGGCAACCTTTTTGCGCACACACAAAGACGAAGATTCCTCCCTATGGACGTAAGGACTGTTGGGGAAAGTGTTGCAACAACACGCCATGAAGTGCGTGGTTTTCAACACCCGCCCGGCCGTCTTTGTCTCCCCGGTGCTGATGTTTTACATACCACACCGGTTACTCAATTAAGGCTGAGACCACTTAGAGGAGACCTCGGATCGGGTTCAGGTAATTGCCACTGACGTTAGCCTTGGTCAGGAATTGAACGCAGGTTTGCCTGGTTTGTAGAGTAGCAGCACGCTAATCACGACTTCGCCAAAGGCTCCACCCCAAAACAAACACACACACTCAGTTCTAAAATAGAACGCACAAACACAAGCAAACACACCAACTGGGGCACAAAGTTGACTTGTTTAAAATGTTACTTACCCGTCTACATACCTACCTACATACCTGCATGCCATTTAGCGTATACGTCAGTGTGCACTGGCACGTTTGAACAGCGGCCATCATCCGAAAACATATTTTAAAAAATGTATTAACAGACTGTAATAAAAAATAATCACGTACAGCCCCTTTTGTCAATCCACTGCTGGGCAAGGGCCATTTCGGTGACAGGAAGTTGGCTTGACTGACAGTCACTCCACCGTGCTGGTCAGTGCGGGATGGTCAAAGGGGAGAGGTCAAAGGGTCGGTTCAGATCTAAACCAGAGGTAGCAAACGGGTTTTGATTCCTTACCCGTACCCGACCGCACCAGGGTCGCAAACGGGTACCCGTACCCGGCCGTACCCGTACCCGGGTACGGGTAGGGTACGGGGGTACGGGTATCGGGTACCTGATTGCGACCTCTGGGATGAAGCCATGTTGCAGGCGCGGGTGGGTTGATTCTAGGAACTTGAATTGTGAGAAGAGACAAGACGTTGGGAAATGAGTGACAAACGGTTACTCACCAGTGACTCACGGCCTACCCGTACCCGGCTGCAGCAGGGTCGCAAACGGGTACCTGTACCCGTCCGGGTATCGGGTAGGGTATGGGTATCGGGTACCCGGTTGCGACCTCTGATCTAAACTCACCACTGATGTTAGCCGTGTGGCTGTGAACCCAATTGGACTTGTGGCGCAGTGGTGCAGACCGCCACTCCACTGCTCCACCAGTCCTGCATTTCTTCAATGGTGCAGCTGTAAAGTTATGTATTTCTATTTTGAGGTGCATGGTATTTTGCCACTGATGTATGGCATTTTTTGAAATGAGATGCATTCACCCAAGTTTGCTCGTGCTAACGTACGAGTTCCACCATCGTAGGCAGGGACATATTTCAGCGACATGCCTAAATATATATTTTTAAAACCTCAACACGTTCTGTCAATAACAATGTGTGGCCTTAGAAGGAAAAATATAATGGGCGATGTTTAGGGAAATGGTCCCTTCTTTATAGCGATAGCAGTCGTGCACAACTTACAACAAAAAACACG